TATCTGAAGTGTACCTGGCGTATAAGACGACCCCCCACTTGGAGGCATATTTTTCAGGGCCAAAAAATCGTCTTATACGCCGGCAAATACGGTAGATTTGTTGACCATGAAGGCAGTGCTAAAGGTAATCTTGTTCTGTTCTCTTTGCAGCGTTAGACGATACATGCCCTTTCTAATTTTTGAAATGGTTTTGTAATCAGGATTTATTATGGCTAAAATTGTGGTTCTGAACCTATTTTGGACCCCTTATTTTCCTAAGGTTTGATGTTCTCACTGGCTCCTCAACAGAAAAAAAATGTACAAATTCTTGCACATTAAGACATTAAAGACTTAATGTGTTAGCTTATGCTCAAGAATACTGTACTTGAATTTTAAAAGAATAGATGGTAGAGAAGAATGTGATGCTTAACACAGAATAATCATTGATGTAGCCAGCCCAAGCAGAGTACTGTGGAGGAGAGCAGCTTGAGCAACTAGCCACCATGCCTGCTGAGTGTAGCGGATTATACTACTGACCAGCAATGCATGTAACTTTTAAAGGGTTTTTTTCATGAGTATGACGCCAAATAGCATAAAACCCAATAAATATTTGCTTTTAATGATTACAAATTAATAGTTTCATTATCCATGGATGATAAAAATTATGTGAAGTTTGATGAGGTCTACTGTAACCATGCATTACTTTAAAGCTCATTTGATGTAGTCATTATCGGTGGCGGAATTGTGGGGCTTGCCTCTGCCAGAGCACTCATCCTTCGACATCCAGCACTTTCCATTGGTGTTTTGGAAAAGGAGAAAGATTTAGGTATGTATGTTATCAGTGTTGCTCTCCTGGCTTAACCTGAGCACCTGCTCACTTTGTCAGTTCTGCATCTGTCATGCTGAATGTCAATCAATGTTAGTACCCTCATTCGAGTTCTCCATCAAGCAGAGCCTGGGACTAGGACTTGGGTGTAGATTATTTATCTGAGAGGTTATCTAGAAGACAGCAGTAAGGGTTGGGGAGAGTAAACAGGGAAGGTGGAAAAGCCACATGAGGTTACATTATCAAAGTTGCTGTTGTAAGCTTGATTCCACTGGGACCTCTGAGGAGCTACATAAACATTTCCCAGGATTGTGCTCATTTATCCATCAGCTCCTACCCTTATTGGTTGAGGATTGCCCCTAGGGATATTGAGTCCCCCCTCTCCACATTAAAAAAGGTCCTGGGGCAGAATGCAGAGAGCCATAGTGATTTTCTAGTAGTAATGGGTGAATTTGTGCACCAAAGTTGTAACTGAAATCAGAGATGGGCTGGAGGGATGTGACACAGACACCAGGCATGGCTGCTAGAGGAAGTTACCAGTGCTCTGACTGTAAGACTTTAAATAATGTGGTCTCTGATAGCTTCAACTGTGTTTGTTCCCCCACTTCTTATGTTTTATATGAGTCATTACTTTCTCTTATCCTTTTTCTTTTGTTTGGTAGCTATTCACCAGACTGGACATAACAGTGGTGTCATACATAGTGGAATTTATTATAAACCTGACTCTCTGAAAGCTAAATTATGTGTACAAGGCGCAGCCCTCCTCTATGAGTACTGTAACCAAAAGGGAATTTCCTACAAGCAGTGTGGCAAGGTATGGTGTTTTACTAGGGCCTTATTTATAACTAGCATTTTCTTAGTGATGTTTAATGTTAAGTAAAAAAAATAATAATACCTGGCTTTTCTTTTTTTACATCAATCTAATTTGTAAAATCTTGTATTAGAGAATAACTTTAAAAAAAGATGATGTGACTAACTCCATGTAATTTCTAAAGTAATAGCTTTATTTACATATAATTTATGTACCATATAATTCACCCTTTTAAAGTGTATAATTTAATTTTTATCATATCCACAGAATTGTGTGGCTAGCACTACTTTCTAATTTTAGAAACCCTATACCCATTAACAGTCATTCCCCATTTTCTATCCTTCTACCCAGCCCCTGGCAACCACTAATATACTTCATATCTCTGTGGATTTGCCAATTCTGGGCATTTCATGTAAATGGAAGCATACTGTATATTGTCTTTTATGACTGGCTTCTTTCACTTAGCATAATGTTTTCAAGGTTCATTCATCTTGTCGCATGAATCAGTATTTCATTCTTTTTTATATTTTACATGTATGTTGTATAGATATACCACATTTTGTTTATCCATTTATCATTTGATAGACACTTGGGTTGTTTCCACTTTTGGGCTATTAGGAATAATGCTGCAATGGATGTTCATGTACAAGTTTTTGTATGGACCTATGTTTTCATTTCTCTTGGATATATACCTAGGAGTAGGATTGCTGGGTCATATGGTAACTCCATGTTTAACATTTGAGGAACTGCCAACATATTTTCTAAAGCACTGCACTATTTTATATTCCCATTGACAATTAATGAGGATTCTAATATCTCCACATCCTTGCCAACACCTGTTATTGTATGTCTCTTTTATTTTAGCCATCCTAGTGGATATGAAGTGGTATATCATTGTTTTGATTTGCATTTCTCTAGTTATTATGATGTTAAGCATCTTTTTATTTATTCATTGAAGAAATATCTATTCAAATCTTTTGCCCATTTTATGGGATGACCAGTTAGCTCAGTTGGTTAGAGAGTGGTGCTGATAACACCAAGGTTGCTGGTTTGATCCCCGCATGGGCCACTGTGAGCTGCGCCCTCTTTAAAAGAGTCAGCTATGTTATTGTAGCATGAAAGCAACATGTAACCAATGACCATAAAAAAATAAAAAAAAAGTAAAAAAAATCTTTTGCCCATTTTAAAAATTGGCTTGTCTTTTTATTGTTGAGTTGTATGTGTTCTTTATATATTCTGGATACAGTCCCTATTAGCTATGA